TGCACCTTGTTGTCTCGGATTCTCCAGCATCTGCAGTTCCTACTATCTCTGATTCGATGCAAACATTTGGCTGGTTTTAAACTAAGCAACTAACCAGTGCACGGTTGCACAATGTTGCAACTCTCCCTGCATTTTGTCACGTCCATTGCATTTGCTAGAGGGGTGCATTGGCTGGAGGTATTGAGAAAAAGGGAGCAGGGGCAGGGAGTTACCCCAGAGAAATGTTGCCACAGCGCGGACCACGTTGCAGGATTACCCCAGGAAGTTAGAGACACTCACTGGCCTATGAAACAGTCCAGTTTCTGGAGATTCCTCACTCACACACAGCCCTGGATAGGCAACCAGCAGGGGGATGGAGGGATCTACAAGACAGAGGGTGACCTTCTGGGTAACTATTAGAGATTAATCCCCGTCTCACCCCACCCCCACTCAATCACTCATCACTCATTCCTCCCCCCTCAATCACTGACCATCCCCCCCCCACTCAATCACTGACCATTCGTCTCCCCTCTCCCACTCAATCACTGACCATTCCCCCCTCCCCTCTCCCACTCAGTCACTGACCATTCACCACCCCCCCACTCAGTCACTGACCATTCCCCCCTCCCCTCTCCCACTCAATTACTGACCATCCCCCTTTCCCACTCAATCACCAACCATTCCCCCTCCCCTTTCCCACACAGTTACTGACCATTTCCCCCCTCCCTGTCCCCCACCCAATTACTGTCCATTCCCCATCCCAACTCCTCACTTAATGACTGGCCATTCTCCCTTTCGCCCCCTCCCCACTCAATTACTGATCATTTCCCACCCACCACTCAATCACTGACCATTCCCCACTCCTCACTCAATCTCCGACCATTCCCCCATTCCCCAACCTGCACTCAATCACTGACTATTGCCTCCTTCCCACCCATCCCACCTTTACCCCCCTCCGCTGTCAGCAGTCACCAAGCTCGATGATCCATCCCTGACCTGATTCTTACAGTCTCTGCCATGGACCACTTATCTTTATAGGCAGCCTTAAACCCACCCCTCCACAGCTATGCCCTAGAGCTGCCTACCTGTCGCCCTACACGTGCACACACACTCTTACCAATTCTTATTGATGAACCATAGAAAGCGTCCTATTCAGGTGCATCACAGCTTGGTATGGTAACTGCTCTGCCCAAGACTGCAACAAATTACAGTGAGTTGTGAACACAGCTCAACACAACATGCAACCAGCCTTCCTTCCATTGACTCAGTTTACACTTCTTGCTGCCTTGGGAAAAAACAATTAAAGACTGTCCCTCCCCGGTTATACTCTCTTCTACCCTCTTCTGTTGGGTAGAAGATAGTAAAGTTTCCAAAGACATATTGACTGATTTATGTGAATGGACCTCTCATATATTAAAATTGTTCTTTCTCTTCACCTTCTCTGTAGCTGTAACACTGTATTCTGCATTCTGTTCTATTATCCTAAGGTACTAATGTAAGGTGTGATTTGTCTGGTTACCACACAAAACAATACTTTTCACTGTATCTCAGTACATGTGACAATAATCAATTCAAATCAAAGCAAACCCCCACCCATCTGTCATTCCACACCTTCATCCACTCTTCACACTCACCTACTGTATGCCCTCACCCAGTCTTCTCCCTCACCCACTCTACCCCTTTTAGCCACACTACAACTTTACCCCCTTCACATCCTCACCAACCTGTCTTTCTACACCCTCACTCACCTGTATTCTGACCCCAACATCCACTGTATCTTCTCACTCACTTGTGACTCAACCCTCTCACCCATCTTGCACCCTAGCCTCTCAATTATCTTAAGCACTCACCTTAACTCAGTAGCTGTCAATGTGTGTGAGGTACTTTGTAACCAAAAATGACATGGCCATTCCTGAGGGAATAGGGGACCTGGTTTCAGTTCCAATCTACTCCGCAGCTGGCTTTGTAGATTCCTCCACTGGGCTGCGGTCCTTCGATTGGGAGTCTCCCCTGAAGATAACGGGGCAACGTCAAGTCTGCTCTGTGTCGGAAATTGGGATTCTGAACCAGATCGGAAGATTCAGGCCGTTACGTCAGAGCGAGGCCAAATAGAGGAAGCACTTCATCACATGTGGAATCGGTTGCACCTCTCTGCCCTTCCACAAACAACCTGTGGATGGGGCTGGAGGAGGAATGGGGGAGGGGGGTTTGACAGTGGGGTGAGGTGGTTATTGGAAGGTCAGCACTGAGATGCCTCATTTCCAGTTGGGCAGGACATCAAGGGATATGGGGCAAAGCCAGATAAAAGAGATTTGTGGCATAGCTCAGTCAGGGTCTAATGGTATGGCAGGCTGGGCTGGAAGTGCTGAATTGGCCTCAACCTATTCCAAATGGAAGAGAAGTTCTGATGAAACCTGTTTGCCACCTTCCATATCGGCCCGTTGTGTAGTCACTGTGGCTCAAATGCTACTATTTTAAGGCTTTCCTATGGTTGACTGGGTTCCATCGGTCAGAGGGTCCCAGTCAGACTGGGGAGAGCTGGATGGGTTATAACCCCTTCCTGACAGGATCAGGTTATCCAAACTAATACCCTTTGTGGATGGAGTCAGCGCTGTGTGCCAAGTGGGATCTGAGTGCCCTCAGTTGTCTGGGCATCGGTGGGTTAAGTAGTCCCCTAACTAGCGATGGAATGAATAATTCAGAACAGTTCTCTGCACATATTCATTGTGTTTTGGCTCATTTTTGCTGCAGGAGGAACTGAGAGCACTGAAGGGATCCCTTGAATCGAAACTAAAAGAGTATTCCAAAAGTCAGAGTGAAGACAAAGCAGATCAGGTGAAGCTAAAGGTGAGGTATTACACACAAACACATAAATCAGGAGCTGCGGTAGGGCATTCAACCCCTCAGGACTGCTCCGTCATTCGATAAGACCATGGCTGACCTGAATGTAACCTCAAGTCCACAGTCCCACCTACCCCTGGAAACCCTTCAACCCCTCCTCCTGCTTAATAAGAATCTATCTAGCTTCAAGGCCTCCACTTCCAGGAAGAGAGTTTCAAATATTCATGATCATCACCGAGAAAGGTGTTTACTCAATCACTGTTTAAAATGGGGAAACCTTGATTTTTACATTGTTCCCCTACGTTATTATCTAATATGGTCTGTAGGAATGTCTGGGACCTAAGACACTGAGGGAATGGCTGATGGATATTTATTGATTAAGAGTTACTTGGGTGTGAGCTGGTTGCACTGATAGGGGGAGCTAACAATCAGTGGAGTGAGAGTTTTATAGAGTGCGATGAACTGAAATAAAGCTCTCACATAAAAGTATGGACTTGAGTTCAATGTAAGTAGTTGTGTTTTGGCATGTGACACGCAGTTATACATTCTCTCATAAGAGGAAATATCCTCTCCATATCGCCCCTATCTTCCGTATCAGGATCATATCTGTTTCAATCAAGTCACCTTTTACACTTTTGAACTCCAGCAGATATAAGCCAAGCCTTTACAAGACAGGTCCCTCCATTCCAGTTCTAAGACCAGTAAACCTTCTCCGAACTGCCTTAAATATATTTGCATCCTTCCTTCCACAGGGTGGCCATTACTCTGCACAGTACTCCAGGTGTGGTCTCACCAATACCTTGTATAACCAAAGCATAATTTCCCTACTTCTGATTTCAGTTCCCCTCATGACGAACAATAGCATTCTGTTATCTTTCCCAATTGCTTCCTATACCTGCGTACTAACCGTTTTGCAATTCATGCACACATCTCAGCTGTGCAGTCTCTCAACGTTTAGATAACACACTACTTTTTATTCTTCCTGCCAAAATGGATTTCACATTTTCCCACACCATACTCTAGTTACCACATTTTTGCCTGTTCACTTAACCTATCAATAACATTTTGAAATCTCATTATATCCTTTTCACAGTGCACTTTCCTGACTACCTTTGTGTCATTTGTAAATTTGACAACCATACCTTTTGACTCTTCTTCTAAGTCATTTACATACCGACCCCTGTGACACACCACTCATATCTTCCTAATCTGAAAGAGAGCTATTTATATCCAGTCTTTCCTTCCTGTCAGCTGACCAATCTTCTATCCATGTTAATATGTTACCCCTGCACCATAAGCTATTATTTTCCTCAATAATGTTTCACCTTACCAGACACCTCCTGGAAATCTAAGTACAATAGATCCACAAGTTCCCTTTCATCCACCTCATGTATTGCCTCCTCAAAGACCTCCAACAGATTTGTTGAACAAATGATTTCCCTTTCACAAAACCATGTTGACTCTGTCTGATTACCTTGAACTTATCCAAGTATCTGTTACAACATCTTTAATGATAGATTCTAACAATTTCCTTGTGATAGATGTTAAGCTACCTGGCCTGTACTTTCCTGTTTTTTGCCTCCTTTGAATAAAAGATTCACATTCACTAACTTCCAATCTAATGGGACTGTCCCTGAATCAAGGCAGATTTGGAAAATGAAAACCAATCCATCGAACATTGCACTAGCCACTTCCTGTAAGATCCTCGGAAGAAGTCCATCAGGATCTGGGAACTTGGCAGCTTGCGACTCCAACAGTTGAAAGTACCAGTGTCACTTTGGGGAAGGGCAAGTACCAAGAGCAATTATCTGTATGATGTGTACACAGTTAGTTAGATTGAAAACTAATTCTCGAAAATGCATAGACTCAAGGGGCTGAATGTCCAGAGCTCTTGTTCCTTTGCCAGTGGCTCTTTAAGATTTCAATGCACTTCATCAGGACAAATTCAAGAATGTCAAAACATCATAACAATATATACTGCAGAAGAAAAGGCTACTGATTGCTCAGGGAATTGACTGTGATTGGTGAGGTGTTGCCATGGAATATGGCAAATATCCTGCAGTATAAACTGCCATGATGCTTTGGCATTCTTGCTTGTGCCCTGAAGAGCATGAAAGAAGGTGAAACATCACTCTTTTCAGCTAATCTAAAGATCTCAGGCTGTTCTAGGGCTGATATGGTCCAAATTCATTGGAAATTGAGCTGGCTTCTCTCCCTCTCAGCCCTCAGTTTTGTGTCTTTGTGAAAGTAAAAGTGAGAAGAGGATTGTGCAGAAAATGCAGCGGTCTGCAACTTGACAAAATCATTTCTGATGAGCATCTAATAAATCAGGAAACTGCTTGCACCCTGATTTTGGGTGAATGTATATCAGAAGATTGGGGAAAGACCAGGTCAATATCCCGAAAGAACAAGGCGCTTTTTTTTACAGTTATATTTTACAGCTTTATTTTTACAGCTCTATTTTTACAGCACTATTCTTCCACACTTGTATTTAAATTCCTAAATAAGATTTCCATGTATTTGAACAGAAACGAATCAGCGATCTGCAGGAAGACATCCAGGCGGAGTTTACCAAATTGCATGGCTTTCTGATAGATGAAGAACGGAGATTCATGATGAAGCTTAAAAACAAGGAGAAGCTTATTGTACAATTAGAGGACAATATGAAGAAAAGTTCTGAGGAAAGTGCGGAAATTAGAAAATTCATAACAGACATCCAAGAAGCGCTGCATCTGCAAGAGGAGGAATTAGTTAAGGTGAGCAGGCAGGTTCAGAAACAATACCAAGGTGAGTGAAGAACAACAGAGGTTTAGCAAAAGCGGCTGAGAGTTAGTATTACCCTACCCCACCATGCTGCAACCGTGCGACAATTCAGGAAATGCAGCTCACTGCCTCCTTCGCAATGGGAGGTAGGGTAATAAATGGTGGTCTCACCAACGACACCTACAGTCCCCCTTAAAGAACAAAACTCAGGGAAATGACTACCTGAGTTAAACCATGAAACTATTCCAGAAAGAACAGGAAGCATTAGATTCAGTGGCGAACACAGAGAATGCTGGAGAAGCTCAGCAGGTCTGGTGGCATCTGCAGAGGCAGAAACAGAGTTAACCCGCCCAGTGTGACTCTTCTTCAGGGGTTCTGTCTACTGTAATAACCCTGGAGCAACTGACTCAGGGCTCAGAGCAGTAGAATTTAAGAAAGACTTAACTATAATTGCAATATACATTGTTTGTAATAATAGAACAAGATCATAATCTGCACTAAATGCAATGATTAAGAAAATACAGAAGGAGGCCGATGTAAAAGTGAAGACAAATTTGCTATAGTCATACTAGACCATGGGGCTGCTCTCTCATTAGAGAGAGCCGACTAGTGGTGGTTTAACCTGAGGGTCCCATGCCTCAGGTGAGCAAAGAGCCTTCATTGCAAGCTCAGCCAGTGCGGGAATTGAACCCATCTTTTCTTGATATCATTCTGTACCATGAGCCAGTCATCCAGCCACCTGAGCAAAGTGACCCATATTTATGCTCAGCCCATTGCCCATTGACAAATATTTCTGGTAGATAGATAGATGGGTAGTATAGAGTCATCTATTGGCCAGAATTTCACATTATGGAACTACATTGGGCACTGTTTACATTGGGATCATTCATTGAGATGCTTGATGCATAGAGTCATACAGCACAGAAACAGACCCTTCGGTCCAAGTTGTCCATGCCAACCAAGTTTCCCAAACTAAACTTCCCAAACCACTTGCCTGCATTTGGCCCATATCTATCTAAACCTCTCCTGTTCATGTACCTGTCCAAATTACTTTTAAATGTTGTAACTGTACGTGCATCTACCACTTCTGGCTGTTCATTCCACACACAAACCACCCTCTGTGTGAAAAACTTGCCCCCTCAAGTCCCTTTTAAACCTTTCTCCTCTCACCTTAAAAATATGCCCCCTAGTTTTGAACTCCCACGCTCTAGGGAAAAGAACTTTGCTCTTCACCTTATCTATGCCCCTGATCATTTCATAAACCTCTATAAGGTCAACCGTCAGCCTCCTACACGCAAGTGAAAAAAGTCTCAGCACTCAGTCCTGAACTGATAGGTTCACCAGATTTCTAAAAAATTCTACAAAATGATTTGCAAGTTTTGTTGACGACATTTCACTTCTTTTGCAGACTGCTAAATACATCATCAACAGGTATGATATTTCTTATGATCTTTTTACATTTGGATGTGAAATATTAAATCAGTTTACAGTCAAATATGATTTTATGGGAAATTTGCTTTCCACATGGTCGTTTAAGGTGAGTAAATGTTCTTGGTTTCGTATTTGCTTCATAATTCCCTCACCTGTGATTCAAAACATGCAGTGACAATACTTTTCCCATTATCGAGCCCTTGTCTTCAAAATGAATAGTGGGTACTTACTTAGAATGACTTTGAATGACAGCACAGCTACAAGCAACTTGGAGCACCAGGTCCTGATCACCGTCTCATCGGATTCCTGCTTGGCATACAGAAGACTAGGGTTCAACTCCCAGACAGAACCTCATCCTTCCCCCTTCCCCCACCCAAGGTGGGGAGTCCACAGCCAGGAGACAGAGTCTCCAAATAAGGCACTCTTTAGGACAGAGGTGAAGAAGAATATTCTCAATATTAAAGCATTAAAGTACAGAGGGTAATGCAGGAAAATGACCCTGAGGTTAAAGAATCCGCCACAATATAGAATCCCTATAATATGGAAGCAGGCCATTCAGCCCACAAAGTCCACACCAACCCTTTGAAGAGCATCCCACGCAGACTCTATCCTATCCCTGTAACTCTGCATTTTCCATGGCTTAATCCAACTATCTTGCGCATCCCTGAGCACTATCAGCAATTTAGCATGGCCAATCCATTTAACCTGCACATCTTTGGACTGTGGCAAGAAACCGGAGCACCCGGAGGAAACCCACAGGGACAATGTGCAATCTCCATAAAGACAGTTACCCAGGGGTGGAATCAAACCCGGGTCCCTGGCACTATGAGGCAACAGTGCTAACCACTGAGTCACCCAAAGGGACTAAGGTTTTAAGTTGTTTCTACAAATGAAAGGGGAGGCATGGTGAGTAGGGATGTGTACTTCAATAAATTTAACTAGCGTTCAGTGGCACTTGTCAGCAATGGGATTAAATGCTCAGCTCAGAGTCAGCATCAAGAATTAAACAGCTAGCTCCTGTTCTGTACAGGTCTCACAATAACTTCAAGAAGCCCACCAAAGTTTCTGTTGACCTGAACCTGGCCGAGGTCATTGGACCAGTGCAGTATATCACATGGAGACGGTTGCTGCAGACCATCAATCCAGGTAAAGCCATGTCCTCTGTTCCTGTTTAAGGTACAACAGATAGCATGTGCTACTGAATTATGTGAAGCTGTTCGTGGGCTGTTTGAGAACAGGTGCTGGAGTCACAGCTGTTTCTTTACAAACTATAAACGGTGACTAGTTTAGCGCTGGTGCCAAGCAACTCTAATCCGTGACAATCTATAGGAAGGACATTATTAAATTGGACAGCTTTCAGAAGGTATTTACCAGGATGTTCCCGGGAATAGATGGTTTGAGTTATAAAATCTGCTTGGATAGATGGGAGCGTAGGACATTGAGGGGTGACCTTTCAGAGGTTTATAAAATTGTGACTGGCATAGATAAGGTGAATTGCAGATGTCTTTTCCCTAGGATGTAGAATTTCAAAACTAACGGGCATATCTTTAAAGTGACAGGAGAAACATGAGGGGCAACTTTTTTACACAGAGAGTGGTTCGTATGTGGAATAAATGTTCAGCAGAAGTGGTGGATGCAGGTACAATTACAACATTTAAAAGATATTTGGATAACTACATGAATAGGAAAGGGTTGGAGGGATATGGGCCAACACAGGCAAGTGGAACTCGTTTAGTTTGAGAACATGGTCGGTGTGGATTAGTTGTTCCAAAGAGTCTGTTTCCATGCTATATGACTCTCTGTTAAACCAGACACAGAAATAGCTACTGGAAGGGACTCTGGAGTCTCACTGCATTGGGGAAAGGCTGAGAACATTTCAGCTTTATACCAATCTGCTCGCCCAGTAAAGCACAATGTTTCGTAGAGAGAAAGTTTGCCATCTCCCACAGTGGAACTGAATATTGATACAGTGCAAACAGCAGGTTATTGATGCAACAAATCTCCAGCTCATGACTGTTCGGAGATGACTCTCCCTGGAAATGTATCTGTGTACAGACAGGGCTGCCTTAAAACGTCACAGTGACATTTAATATTGAGTGGCCTGTGGGTGGTAGTGTTAAATGGGTCACAGGAAGTAGGAAGTCCATTTTACCCCACTGCTGACCACTTGTTATTTTGGTTGACTTTAATGATTAACAAGCTTCCATCTTGCTGCTGCCAATTTGACATTGGCACTCAGTCAAGCTTTGACCCATAAAACGGGTAACTCTGAGTGAAAGTGTGAAGTCATCACGAAGGATTCAACAAAGGTTGATACTTTCCTCCCAATCTCTACTTCCGTGTTGTGTGTGATTCTGTAATAAAATTGAAATAGCCCTTTTCAGGGATTGATGGGTAGTTGATGGCCTAGTGGTATTATCACTGGAATATTAACCCAGAGACCCAGGTAATATTCCGGGGATCCGGGTTTGAATGCTATCATGGCAGGTGGTAGAATTTGGATTCAAAATTTGGATTTAAAGGTTCGTTGATGACCACAAAATAATTGAGAGACAGGGGAATCCATCTGGCTCACCATTGTCCTTTAAGGAAGGAAACTGCAGTCTTAACCCAGTCTGGCCTATATGTGACTCCAGAGCCACAGCAATGTGATTGACTCTCATCTGCCCTCTTGTCCATTAGGAATGGGCAATAAATGCTGGCCTAGCCAGTGATACCGATATCCTGTGAATGAATTTACAAAAAAAAGATGGCAGTGTAAATAATCCAGAGGCCCAGTTTAATGCTGTTGGGACATGGGTTCAAATCTCACCATGAATTCTTTTGGGATGTGCTATGTGATTAATAGATTAGGAATTTTTATAATAGTATTTGTTCATGGGATGTGATGATAACGTTGACAGCTCATCCTAAATTGCCCCAGAGGGCTGTTAAGAGTCAACCATATTGCTATGGGTCTGGAGTCACATGTAGGCCAGTCAAGGTAAAGATGGCACGTTTCCTTCCAGTGACGTTACCGCTAAGTTACCACCTCCTGAAGGTTGTGTATGCTGCAAACAGCAGGCAGCACCATGAGCACATGCTTAAACTCATACGTACATACACACACTCTCATACACACACACACACATATATGCGCACACATACACGCGCACATCCACCCACACACAAACACACACACACATATGCGCCATCATACACGCGCACATCCACCCACACACACACACATATGCGTGCACATACATGCGCACATCCACCTACACACACAAACACACACATATATATATGCGCGCACATCCACCCACACACACACACCCCCCAAGAGGCTGTTTGCATTATTCTTGCCGGATGTACTGAGGAAGCTGTGTGCTATCCAGAACTGAAGGAGACCCAGTATAAACAATCCGCTGGGCCCTGCCACATCAGGCTGTTTATTGACTCTGTTTCACATGGAACACGGGATACTGACGTTTAGAGGAGAAATGTAAGAATTTGGCTGCTGCAGAACAGTCGTGGCTAATGTTGCAGACACCCATAGTCTATCCACGCACTGGGGGGAGGGGGCTGTACTGTGCCCCTGTATAATAATTTCAGAATATAAAGCCAGTCTCAGCAATGGTGACTGTAAAACTACAATAACTTCAGAGTATAAAGCCAGTCTCAGCAACGGTGACTGTAATCATCGGTTATCGCTTAAAAAATAGTATCTGCTTCACTAAGCCATAGCATCCCTACGATATGGAAGCAGGCCTTTCGGCCCATCGAGTCCACACTGACCCTCCGAAAAGCATCCCACGCAGACCTAAACCTCCACCCACCCAAAAAACCTTTTCCCTGTGACCCTACATTTCTCAAGGCGAACCCACCTAGCCTACACATCTTTGGACTGTGGGAGGAAACCAGAGCACCCAGAAGAAACTCACACAGTCACAGGGAGAAAGTGCAAACTCCACACAGACAGTCACCTGAGGGTGGAATCAAACCTGGGAGGTAGTGTGCTATTCAGTGAGCCATCATGCAGCCCTAGGAACTAATGTCCCTTTGGGGAAGGAAATCTGACACCTTCACCTGGTCTGGCCTACCAGTGAATCCAGACCCCACCTCCACTTCATGCAATCACAGAATTGTAATGATGCGGACCGAGGTCATTCAGCCCATTGGGCTTGCACTGGCTCTTCCTGCAAGCATCGCCACGTGGTGCCAATCTTAATGCTTTCTTCCCCCACATCCTCGCACACCGTTTCTATCTAAAAATCACCCCGTGCCCTCTAGAATGCCTCAAAAGATTGTGATTTACTATTAACCAGCCCCTGAAAGTCCTTTCAGTGAGTTGCCTGGACAATTAAGGATGGTCCATTAACACTGGTCATAGAGACATAGGGGTCTACAGCACGGAAATAAAAAGCCCTTTGGCCCATCAAATCTGCACCGGTTAAATAAAAAAACGCCTAACTCAGGTCGCACCACACCTCAAGAAAGAATACATCTCTTAAAAATTCAGAATTGACACAAACAATGCAAACCAGATCGAAGGTCAAGCAGTGTTTAGATATGATGGATCGAATGGCCTCCCTAAATTCTAAAGTTTGATCATGTAAATTTACTTTGCACTGTCAGTGAATATTGCTGTGTGTACAGTTGAAAATGTGCCTTGTCTAAACAAATCAAATGAGTAAAATTTATCCGGGCTTTTTAATCTCATTATTTATTCTTGTTTTTCTCTCGAAGCCCCCAAGTTTGTGACTCTAGACCCGATGACGGCACACCCACACCTCAAGGTTTCCGACGACCTGAGCCATGTGAGGCGTAGCGAGACAGCGCAGGCAGTTTCTTACAACCCGAAAAGATTTAGCAACCGGCATTGTGTGCTGGGATCCAAGGGGTTCACCGGTGGACGCCACTACTGGGAGGTGGACGTGGGGAGCTGTACCTTCTGGGTGCTGGGCGTGGTGAGCGAATCCATCTCGAGGTGCGGAAACCTGCCCCTGGCACCCGAGGCGGGAGTGTGGGCCATTGAGCTGAGGTGGCAGGACGGGTACAAAGCCCTCAGCTCGCCCCCTGCCTGCCTCACCCTCAACGCCAGACCCAAAAGGCTGGGAATCTACCTGGACTATGAGGGGGGCTGGGTGACGTTTTACGATGCGGGAGATATGTCCCATCTCTACACCTTCAGTGACACCTTCAGGGAGAAGCTCTACCCTTATTTCAGCACCAGCTGCAAAGCTGACTCGCTGAGAGTCATCTCTTTATAGCTGTGAGAGGCGTTGAAATAGGGGCAGCCTTCCTCTTCTTTGTCACATAGATGAAGGCAGGATTAAAGCAGGTTCTGACTATCACCTCCATTTAGCTGCTCCTTATGACAATCGAGATTGCAATGGAAATCCCTGGAAGTGAGAGGCAGACAGGGGAACATCCCATTTGACATTGACTAACCTCCACACCAAGGGTCCAAGACGTTTCCGTCTTTCACAATCTGAAATTCTGGAATTTCTTGGAATTTGAAAATCTTGGAATTTCTGCATCGACTCCCTAGAGCTAACCTTCCATGGAAGGTCGGGAAGGTGACTGGGGACAAACCTTGCCACGTTCCTGCAGGGTGCCTCTTTCCATTCCTGCCATGAGGGTTTTCGGATTAGGTTTCATCCTGGAATAGAATGCCAAGTTTCTAATTAGTTTTATCACCTTCCACCCCAACCCCCACCAAGTCTGTCACTCCACTGCATTGAGAAAGTCAAATCCAATGTGACAAGGGGAGGGGGCAATGGCCAGATGACTCTATTCACCCTGTTTGGCACTCCCCCACCCACCCCAAGAACAATTTCACCCACTCGAGGGCACCTTCAGAGACCTTTCCAGATGCCAATGGCACCCAGGACAGTGCCAGAAAGCAGGCAATAGTGACTCTGCAATTCACATCGTAACCTGCCTGCTCAATAACTGGCTGGCTTATGTGATGATGAAATTTGGAAGCTTGTAGGGAAAGATCAGGGGAGCAGGACAATTTTGATAGAACTTGCAAAGAGCTGGCATAGGTGTGATGGGCTGAAGGGCCATCTTCTATCCTGTACCATTCTATGGTGTGATCTAACACACTGTTGCTGACATAAATGGGGAATAATTACGGAGAAGCAGGAGAGTAGTGGGACTAATTTGATGGCTCTTTTAAAAGACTCATCCAGACAAGGTGGAGCTATTGGCCTCCTTTGGTGCTGTATGAATCTAATGATCTTTTTAATCATACATGATATTTAAGGGATAATGTTTATTTGACTGTAATTTCAAATGCAGTGATTGTGATAATAAATAAAAGTGAAATGTTTCATTTCCACGTTTGAGTTTTTTTTTCAAGACTCTGCAGAATATCTTCCAATCTTCAAATCTTGTTAAAAAAAAAGTATTGTGCAAGAAAGATCTTCCTGTCTCACCATTTTTGACCTTCATTGACTCTCCCTAAAAGGCTAATGTTGCACTTTCTTGAGAAAAGTTGCTAGGATGTGGTCCCTGACTGATATAATCTCAGGATACATGAGGTAGGCCATGAGAAAAAATATCATCATCCAGAAGGTGGTGAAGCTTTGGAATTCCCTGCCCCAGGGGGCTGTAGAACATTGGTCATTGACCAGGTTCAAGTCAGAAACTAGAGACAACACAGTGTGGAACTGGAGGAACACAGCAGGCCAGGCAGCATCAGAGGAGCAGGAAAGTTGACGTTTCATGTCAGGACCCTTCTTCAGAAATGGGGAGGGGGAAGGGAGCTGGGAAATAAACAGAGAGATGAGGGGTGGGGCTGAGGAAGGTGATGAGATGGTGGTAGGTGAGTGCAGGTAGGGAGTGGTGGGGATTGGTCATTGGGATGGGTGGGCCGGATAGGTGGGAGAGAAGATGGACAAGATGTATCAGGTCAAGGATGCAGGGATGAGACGGAGGGTTGGACATGACATTAGGCCGGGGCCGGGGAGATTTTAAAACTGGTGAATTCCATGTTAAGGCCCTAAGGGGGAGTATGAGGTGCTGCTCCTCCAGTTTCCGGGTGGCGTCATTGTGACACTGGAGGAGGCCCAGGATGGACATGTCAACCAGAGAGTGGGAGGGGGAGTTAAAATGGTTCGCGACCGGAAGGTGTCGTTTGTCGCGTACAGAGCGCAGGTGGTCTACGAAACGGTCTCCGAGTCTACGCCTGGTCTCACCGATGTAGAGGAGGCCATGTCAGGAGCAGCGGATACAGGAGACCAAATTGGCTGATGAGGGGAGGCGATGGCCTAGTGGTATTATCAGTTGGACTGTTAATCCAGAGACTCAGATAATGTTCTGGGGACTCGGGTTCAAATCCTGCCACGGCAGATGGTGGAATTTGAATTCAATAAATATCTGGAATTAAGAACCGAATGATGACCATGAATCCATTGTTGATTGTCGGAAAAACTCATCTGGTTCACTAATGTCCTTTCGGCCTACATGTGACTCCAGACCCACAGCAATGTGGTTGACTCTTAACTGCCCTCTAGGCAATTAGGGATGAGTAATAAATGCTGCCTAGCCAGTGACACCCTCATCCCGTGAATGAATAAAGAAAAAAAATGTGCGGTTGAACCCCGTCTGATATGAAAGGTTTGCTTTGGGCCTTGAATAGAAGTGAGGAGGGATGTGTAGGGGCAGATATAGCACTACCTGCGGTTGCAAGGAAAGGTGCCAGCTGTGGTGGGGTTAGTGGGGAGTGTGGAGCGGACAAGGGAGTCGTGGAGTGAGCAGTCCCTATTAAAGGCATTAGGGGTGGGGAGGGAAATATGTCTCTGGTTGTGGGGTCAGATTGTAGGTGGCGGAGAATGATACGCTTGATGCGGAGGTTGGTGGGGTGATGGTGGAAGTGCTACATCTGCCCCTACACATTCCCCCTCACTTCTATTCAAGGCCCAAAGCAAACATTCCATATCAGACAGGGGTTCACCTGCACATCCGCCAACTTGGTCTACTGTATCCACTACTCCCGATGTGGTCTCCTCTACATCGGTGAGACCAAGCGTAGACTTGGAGACCATTTCGTAGAGCACCTGTGCTCTGTTCGTGACAAACAACACCACCTTCCGGTCACCAACCATTTTAACTCCCCTTCCCACTCCCTGGGTGACGTCCATCCTGGGCCTCCTCCAGTGTTACAATGACACCACTGGCAAACTGAAGGCGCAACACCTCATATTCTGCCTCGGGAGCCTACAGCCCAAAGGCCTAACCATGGAATTCACCAGTTTTAAAATCTCCCCACCCCCAGCCTCATCCTATGACCAACCCTCCCTCTCATCCCAGCTTCCTTGACCTGACACAACCTGTCCATCTTCTCTCCCACCTGTCCGCTCCTCCGACCTGACTGACCAATCACCACCACTCCCTACCTGCAATTACCTATCACCATTCCACCTACCTTCCCCAGCCCCACTTATCCTCTATCTATTTATTTCTGAGCTCTTTTCCCCCTCCCGTTTCTGAAGAAGTGTCCCGATACGAAACATCAACTTTCCTGCTCCTCTGATGCCGCCTGGCGTGCAGTGTTCCTCCAGCTTCACACTGTGTTGTCTCTAGTCTCTGTAGACTCCAGCATCTGTAGATCTTGCTGTCTGAAGTCAGAAATGGATAGGTTCCTGGAGACTGATGACATCAAGGGATAGGGAGATAGCGCAGGAAAGTATATGTTGAATTAGATGGAGTATTGAATGGCAAAGCAAGCTTGAGGAGTTGAATAGTCCATTCTTGGAATCATAGAACCCTAAGTGTGGGATCAGGCCACTCGACCCATTTCAACCTTCAGGTTATTTTCTAGGTTCTGAATGTGTTCTGCTGAATATCTTCCAGTCCTCAAATCTTGTTAAAAAAAAACATTGTGCAAGGAAAATCTCCTGGTTTCATTATTCTTGACCCTCCATTTACTCTCCCTAAAAAGTTAATGTTGTGCTTTCTTCAGAAAAATAGCTAGGATGTGGTCAATGGCTGATGAGTTTGGAACTAGGGATGTCATATCAGGATACATAGGGCAAGCTATGAGGAGGAATATCTTCATCCAGAGGGTGGTGAAGCCTTGGAATTCTCTGCCACAGAGTGCTGTAGAACATCAGTCATTGAGTAGGTTCAAAATAGAAATTGATAGGTTTCTAGAGGCTAATAACATCAAGGGATACAGAGATAGCACAGGAAAGTGAGGGAGATGGTCAGATGTATTGATTGGTAGAGCAGGCTTGAGGGATCGAATCGTCCACTCTTAGAACCATACAACCCAGAAGCAGGACACACCAACCCCCCAAACAGCATTCCACCTAGACCCACCTTATCCCCATAACACTGCATTTCCCATGGCCAATCTCCCCTAGCCTGCACATCCCTGGACACTACAGGACAATTTAGCATGGCCAATCCACCTAACATGCAAATCTTTGGCCTGTGGGAGGAAACCGGAGCACCCGGAGGAAACCCACACAGACGTGGGGAGAATGTGCAAACTCAAATAGTCGCATGAGGGTGGAATCGAGCATGGGTCTGTGAGGCAGCAGTGCTAACTACTGAGCCACCATGCCACTCTTGTTCCTATGCAGTGACAATAGGGCTCACTGCTGTAAATCTGAGAACAATAGATTTGCACGCTTCAAGATTTTGCAGAGACCGCAGAAAGTTTTTAGAAATGTAGGGAATAGGAAGAGGAGGCTGTTTAGCTGATGAAAGGTTATCACTGGTGTGGTGTCAGGAACAGAACTACCAGCTTTGTGTGCAGCAAGGTGTGATGGGCAGGAATATTCTGCGCTGTGCTGTTTCTGTGTGGGGATAAACACTGGCCTGACCCTCTCTTTGAAATATTGAGTGCCCTGGAGACCTCAGACAGAGCCTCAGTACAGCTCCTGATCTGAGGGGGCACCACCACCTCTGATGGTTCAGCATTCTATCATTATCACAGAATTGTGGTGCCGCACAAAGATGGCATCTGTCCCACCTTTTCCCCACTGTCTCTCTGAACGAACGCCGCGAGGGAGTGCTGGCTCTCTTGCCTTTTCTCGAAGACGCTGCACTTTATTCTGAAATAATTGCCTTATGGCCTCGAGATGGAACCTGTCTCTGCCACACCTCCAGGCAGTACATTCCAAACCCTACCCACTCACTGTCTGAATGTGTTTTTGTCTCAAACTGCACAGTGCACCACATTGTCAGCCTGGATTAGATAATGATGTGCTCAACATAATGGACGTATGCCAAATGCAACACTGAAATAGAAGAGAACAGAAAAATGCAGGAGGAAATAAGGACCTTGGAGTGGTGGTTAATACTTCCTTGAAAGTGGAGTCACAGGTCAATAGGATAGTGAAGAAGGCATTTGGAATGCTTGTTTTTATTGGTTAGTGCATTGAGTATAGGAGTTAGGAAGTCATGTTGCGGCTGTACAGGTAATTGGTTCAGCAACTTTTGGAGTATTGCATGCAAATTCTGGTCTTCCACCTATAGGAAGGATGTGTGAAACTTGAAAGGGTTCAGAAAAGATTTACGAGGATGTTGCCAGGGTTGAAGGGTTTGAGCTATAGGGAGAGGCTGAATAGTCTGGGGCTATTTTCCTGGAGTGTCAGAGGCTGAGATGTGACATTATAGAGGTTTATAAAATCATGAGGGGCATGGATGGGGTAAATAGACAAGGTCTTTTCCCAGGGCTGGGGGAGTGCAAAACTAGAGGACATAGGTTTAAGTTGAGAGGGGAAAGATTTAAAAGGGAGCTGAGGGACAACTTTTTCATGCAGATGGTGGTG